CATTCCCTGTGCTTTGAAAGCGGAATTGTAGTCATCATGCAAAAAACCACATGCTCACAAAACAAAGGCACCCCAGTGTTTCTGCAGCTTCCCTGTTCTCACCACAGTTACTTTCTCTGTTCTGACCACAGAGACTCCAATAATGCCCTGAGAACAGCCCTCAGCTCAAGCCGGCTTCCAGCTAGCTAGTCCGGAAGCATGACCTCTCAGGAGCTGCCATGAAGACTCTGCTCCCCCTGCAGCCTCGGGCTTGGGCATGCTGAGCCTAAGCCACTGGGCTCTCCACCCCGCATTGTTTAAAACATGAGCAATGTAGACTTGCCTCCCGAGTGTTCCACAGAGAAATAAGAATTCTGGCAGCTCAGCCCTGAGCTCACACTGCTTGAGAGATGCCAGCAGAGAGGGCATAATGATAAAGAGATCGGTCCCCAGAGAGGCATCCGTTTCCCCCCTTCCTAATCAGGCAGACAGCCTCATGGGAAGCAAGACCTGGTTACTAAAATCCCAAACTTCCTTATAGGTAACTTAACTTCAGAAATCAATAAGAAATGTGAGACAATTAAATTCACCCAGTGGTTACAGGGCACTTACCCTGGATGGGGCTCGACGCTGTTTGGAGGGCAATTCAGTGTATCTCCTGCTTATCATGAACTCGGTCATGGGGCTCATCATGAAATGACACCATTCAAAGGATGGGTCCAAGGAAGATGGGCCACAGGTGTCAGAGAACTGATAGCGCCTCCATTGCCTTTGGGGATAGATGAGTGGTTCTGAACAGAGAATAATTTTGTCTCCCAGAAGACATTTGGCAATATCTGGAACCATTTTTCATTGTCACAACCTGGGTGGGGCATGGGTGCTACTGATATTTAGCGGGTAGAAGACGGGGAAGGTATGAACATGCTACAATGCACAGGACACACATCACAGCAAAGATGATCTGGCCCAAATCCTGGTGCTACTGCTGCTGAAGTACCCTGCTGTAGATGAAAGGGCTTCTATCCTGAACTGATCATTCTCGAAACTGGGTGTGGGTTACATGTGATTTCATTACCATGCTTTGACCACAACTGTAGATGTATTAAAGATGTTGTGTTTTTGTTTCCGTTTCTTTAAATATGTTTTTATTGATTTTTTTTTAGAGAGAGATAGAAGCATCGATGTGAGACAGAAACATCAATCAGCTGCCTCGTACATGTCCCCTACTGGGGATTGAGCCCACAACCCAGGCACGTGCCCTGACCGGGATTCAAACTGGGACCTCTCAGTCCATAGGATGACGCTCAGTCCACTAAACCACACCGGCTGGGCAGTATTAAAAATTTTTGTAGTGGAAAGTTTACAAATGCTATAACAGCACTCTAAGATAAATGTGTCCTATACCCATGGTCCTCACAAATGTCGTTATTCAGCCTTGATTAAAATCAGAGTTGAAACAAGACGCCAAGTTTCAACCATTGGTTAATAAGAAAATTTAGTGAGACATAGTAAGATTTTTTTAAGGTTTTAATATAATTGCTTTTGAGAATACAAACACTGAATTAACCATTATTCTTTACATAGGAGGAAAAAAACAAAAGATTAGAAAATAATTGCATAAAAGCTCCAAATATATAAGTAAAATCTCTATTTATTCTGTAACATGTTGTCATGAAGTGTCGTTTCTGTGAAAATCTGTCAGTCAAAATATTTCCTATATTGAAAGATTCGGTTTAAGAAATCTGAGGAAGATAGATTTTTTTCTTTTTTTTTTTTATCCTCACCTAAGGATATTTTTCCATTTATCTTCAAATAGAGTGGGAGGGAGAGAGAAAGAGAGAGAGAGACATCAATTGGTTGCCTCCTGCACAACCAAGACTAAACCACAACTGAGGTACATGCTGTTGACCAGAATCGAAACTTCAACTGTTTGTGCTGCGGGCTGACGCTCTAACCACTGAGCCAACAGGCCAGGGCTGAGGAAGATAGATTTTCAAACGTGACTCTATGAATGTTTGCTATGAAAAACTACATTTCTTACACTATTTGTGCTATAAAACTGTTCGCCCTGGCCGATTTGGCTCAGCGGTTAGAGCGTCGCCCTGCGGTCTGGAGAGACCCAGGTTCGGTTCCTGCTAAGGGCATGTACCTCAGTTACAGTTTGTCCCCGGCCCTGGTTGGTCGTGCGGGTGGCAGCCACTCGATGTGTCCCTTTCACGTCGATGTTTCTCTCTCTCTCTCTTCCTCTCTCTCCCTCCCACTCTATCTGTACAAAAAATGGAAAAATGTCCTCCTGTGAGGATAAAAAAAAAAAAAAAAAACTGTTTGTTCACCTAAAGTTATAACTTGCCTTTTTCATAAGAGTTTGAGGTTATTTCCTAACCTGGTAAAGATTAAACCATTGTCTATGGCACAGTCCTCCAGCTCCCATTAAATCCCACCACTAGAAAAGATGTACAGATGTAAAGAATCTGAGAACAAGACAAGACCTGCGAAATTATCCAGTCAAAGAACATTTTTAAAAATGAAAAAGAGCCCTGGCCGGTTTGGCTCAGCAGTTAGAGCGTCAGCCCATGGACCAGAGAGTCCCAGGTTCAGTTCCCACTAAGGGCACGTGCCTCGGTTGCAGTTTGTCCCTGGCCCCAGTTGGGGTCGTGTGGGTGGCAACCAGTCGATGTGTCTCTCTCATGTTGATGTTTCTCTCTCTCTCCCCACTCCTCTCCATCCTGCTCTATCTGAAGATACACGCAAAAATAATAATAATAATAATAATAATAAATAAAAAAAAGTATAGAAAGCCTATATGAACAATGAGGTATCATTAAAAGAAACATTTTTTAATTATTGAAGTCCCAGAAGAAGAGAGGGAAGAGGCAGAAAGCTTATTTTATAAAACTAATAGCTGCCAATTTCCCAAATGTAGGGAGATATTTGGACATCCAAGTTCTTGAACCTAATAGATCACCCCAAAAATTTTCATGCAAATAGATCTTCTCCAAGACCATTATACTATAACTGTTTAGAAGAAAAGGCAGAGAGAAATTTAAAAGCAGCAAGACAAAAACTATCCTCTTACACAAGGGGCCTCCATAGGCTACCAGGATTTCTCAGCAGAAACCTCCCAGGTTAAGAGAGTGCGATGATATATTTAAAATGCTAAAGGAAAATCAAAAGACTAACGAAAAATACTTTAGCCAGAAAAGTTGTTCTTTAAAATGAAGACAAGATAAAGACTTTCCAAACAAACAAAAACCAACAGTGTCCATCACCACAAGACTGGCCTTAGAAGAAACCTTGAAAGAAGTTCTTCAAGCTGAAATGAAAGGACACTAATTAGTAACATAAAAACATATGATAAGGGAACAGTGGTTGCTGGAGGCTGGGGGATGGGGAAGATGGAGATATGTTCATTAAAGAGTGCAAACCTCAGTTATAAGATGAATAAGTTCTGAGGAAATCATTTACAGCATGGTGATTATAGTTACTACTACTGTATTATTTCCTCGGAAGTTGCGAAGAGAATAAATCTCCACTGAAAGCACAAAAGAAGACATCAGCAAATGGAAAGACAGACTTTAGTTTTGGATGGGAAGACATTATTAAGATGTTGATTCTTTGTAAATACATTTATAAAATGTAACATGGTATCAATCAAAATGATAAGTTCTTTGTGGGGGGTGCGATAGAGCAGGAAGAGAAATAAAACTAAATCTATAGTTCGTAGGAGAAAGCAATATCCAGGCGACCTTTGAAAAAGAACATGAAGGAACTAGCACACATGCGAACATTTAGACTCAGGCTAATTAAATATTAAAACATCCCTCCTCACTCACAAAAATGAAACGTGTAAATTAAACAAGATATCTAATTTGCAAAATATTTATATTTTGAAACAATTTTTTTACTTACAAAAAAGTTGCAACAATAAGACAAAAAATTCCTGTATACCTTTCATTCAAATTCCCCAAATGTTAAGATTTTTCCACATTTTCTTTAACATTCACTCTCAGTAGATGAACAAATAGAATCTTTTCTGAAATGTTTGAAAGATGATGACATAATAATGCCCATTTACCTTTAGATACCTCAGTAATTTGCAGTCCAAGGACGTTCTCTGACATAAACACATTACAATAATCAAAATCACAAAATGAACTTGGACACAACTCTATTCATCTCATCTACAGTTTTTTGCCCACTGTGAGCTTCATCTAGTACAGGATTCAATCAAGGGTCACAGGTAGCGTTTCGTTATTGTCTATTTGTAACCTGAAAAATTCTTCAATTTCTTTGTCGCAATACTTTTGAAGAATGCCACTAGTAATTTTGTACAGTGTTGTTCAGTTGGGGTTTGCCTGATGTTTTGTCATGATTAGACTTGGGTTATGTACTTTTGGTAAGAATATCACAATAATGATCATTCTCCAGTCTCAATACTGATGGTGCTAACTTTGAGTAATTATTTAAGGAAGTGTCTCCCAGGTTTCTCCACTGTTGAGTTACATTTTGCCTTTTGCAATTAATAAGTATCTTGCAGGAAGATACTTTGAGACTATGTAAAAAACTTATTTCTCATTAAGCAAGGACTTAATGACATTGTTCAATTCTGTCAAGAGTACTTTCACAAGGAAGGTTAATTATTACAATCTTTCTAAGAACCAATTTAACACAATGCATCAAAAGTTGTTATACTTGACAACACAGTGAATTTACTGTAGCAAATAAGTCTAAAAGAAAATCAGAAGCGTAAAGATTTCTATTCAAGAATACTTAACACAGTGTTATTTATAGTAGTGAAAAAACAAAAGTGATCGAAACATCCAATAGAAAGTGGCTAATTAAAATATAGTAGATGAATCCAGAGGGACTATTTTACAAGTGATTAGAACAGAGTTTTTGAAGATGAGGACCAGTTAGAATAGCTCCAGAACAGTCCTGTGAACTCTGCCTCACCCCATCCTGCCCCTTCAGTTTGGACTCGGATCATCCTAACCCCAAGGATGAACCCCGAGACTCCACCTCTATTTCCCATCCAGCTTCACTGTCCTGATCCACAGCCGTTTCACAGCCTTCTTCACTTCAGTGTTCCTCAGGGAGTAGATGACAGGGTTGAGGAGAGGCGTGATCACTGTGTAGAACACGGCCACCAGCTTGTCCACAGACAGGGTGGTGGACGGCCTCAGATAGATGAAGATGCAGGGCCCAAAGAACAAGGTCACCACAGTGATGTGGGCCCCACAGGTGGAGAGGGCCTTGCGCCGCCCTTCAGAGCTTCGGGTCCTCAGATGGAGCAGGATGACCACGTAGGAGGCTAAGAGGACCACAAAGCTGATCACAGACAGGGTGCCCCCGTTGGCAACAATCAGCAGGCCAATGAGGAAGGTGTCAGAGCAGGCAAGTTTGAGCAGGGGAAGCACGTCACAGAAATAGTGGTTGATCACATTGGGGCCACAGAAAGGCAAGTGGACAATGAGAAGGATTTGGGCCAAGGAGTGCACAGAGCCCCCCACCCATGCCAGTCCCACCAGGACAGCACACACCCGCCGGTTCATGATGGTGGTATAGTTGAGGGGCTTGCAAATGGCCACATAGCGGTCATAAGCCATCACGGTGAGCAGGAACGTCTCAATGCCACCAAAGAAGTGGATAAAGAAAAGCTGTGTCAGGCAGCCCCACAGAGATATGGCTTTCTTCTCAGCCAGCAAATCTGAGATGAGTTTGGGGGCTGTCGTAGAGGAGTAGCAGATCTCCACGAAGGACAGGCAGCTAAGGAAGAAGTACATGGGGGAACCAAGACTGCTGCTGGTCATGACAGTGATCACGATGAGGCCATTCCCCAGCACAACTGCTGTGTACAGGAGCAGAAATATCACAAAGCAAACTTTCTGTACCTCCTGACTAGGGGAAAGTCCCAGAAAAATGAATTCAGTCACATTATGCGTGTGAGCCATGAAGCCACAGCCAGGAGGCAGTAATTAGGATGGATGATCTGAAATGATAAAAAAAAAAAAAAAGACTCTTCTGTTAAGTGGATGAATTACATAATAATCCCTAGCATACCTGAAACACTTGTGGGCCGGATATTGAAAGATGAGTAGGAGCTAGCTTTGTGTAGAAGGAGGAGAAAGATTCCCAAAAAGGCAGAAGAGCATACAAAGCTATGAAAATGTGTCCATGTGTGGTTGGGATAAAGGGAAGAATAGCAAAGACAAAGTTGGAGCTAGGGTCTCGTACCAGTTCACAGAGGACTGTTACGGACTTTGAGGTTCATCCTGCAGACATTGGGGAACCAGCAGGAATGTTAGTAACTGGGAAGCAGAATCACTCTGTATGTAGAAGCTGGACGGGTGGAAACAGACCAGAGGAGGGCGGAAACAGTCGGATACGAATGCCCGGTTGGGTGATGTATGGCTGCAAGGAGCATGTTGCTGTCTCATGTCAGCTGTCCCTCTGTCGCCTTGGGCTGCTTTGTCTTTCACTTCCAGCTTTCTGTCACCTCACTACCTTCCACTCCCTTTCCACCCTTGGTTCCCTTCAGAGTCTTCAGAAGAGCTGTCCCGACACTCAGTACCCCTTCTTATTTCTGCTTTCTTCTCCTAATTCTCTCATTCTACAGCTGGTCCCTGGTGATCTTGTCCCTGCTCCTTACTGATACCTTCAATTCCTTCAATCATGCTCCACCCCCCCCCCACCAGTGGTAACAGAAATGCAAACCACCCCTCAGCGCAAAGCACCCACTGAGGTACAGCCTTCCAACACCTCAGGGTATCACCAAAGTCGTGCACTGACTGGTTTGCAGATTTTCCTGGTCCATGCCGGACCTTGTCCAAGGCGACTGAGGTCTGTGGTATCCACACAGCCCCTTGTACGGTGAGACTCCAGCCCTGACACATGACATCCACTCATGCCACAAAGCTTCCTTCCATCAACAGTGGGGGCAGGCTCGGGTGATTAAGGACTACCATTTAGGTAGTATCTATGTGATATCTAGAAAGTTCTTGAACCAGAGACTCGGGGTCCAATCCATAGAACCATGGCACAGAGTTGATACCTATGTCACAGGAAGATGCTCTAAGTGCCACCCCGAGCCCATCCCAGGAGCACGTAAGTTCCCATCCTCTGTGCTGCCTTGGATTGTTCTCAGAGGTAGAAAATCCATCTCCACAATGCACAGACCCTTACCATCACTGGCTCTTTTCTCTCAGGACATTTTGAAATCACAGCAATTTTCACACTGAATTGTAATTGTTTCATGTGACCATTTATCCACTAAACTATGAATTTCCTGAAGGCAGAAGAGCATACAAAGCTATGAAAATGTGTCTATGTGTGGTTGTTACAATTCCATCTTCAGCACTTACTTCGAGCCTCCACAAAGTAGCATTCATGATTGTATATAGACTCAATGGAGAGTGGGTATAGGTGTTCCCTAGCCTTCTTAGCACAGTATTTGGTACATCATAGGTGGTCAGTATATACTGAAAGAACAGAGGTCCCCAAAGACAGACCACAGCTTCTGATCCCCAAATCCCATTCCCAGCACTGTGCCTGCCTCAGTCAAAGACCAGGTGTTGGGGGAGCACTTTGTAACATGCCACGTACTTCATGGCATCATTCCCTGTGCTTTGAAAGCGGAATTGTAGTCATCATGCAAAAAACCACATGCTCACAAAACAAAGGCACCCCAGTGTTTCTGCGGCTTCACTGTTCTCACCACGGTTACTTTCTCTGTTCTGACCACAGAGACTCAAATAATGCCCTGAGAACAGCCCTCAGCTCAAGCCGGCTCCCAGCTAGCTAGTCCGGAAGCATGACCTCTCAGGAGCTGCCATGAAGACTCTGCTCCCCCTGCAGCCTCGGGCTTGGGCATGCTGAGCCTAAGCCACTGGGCTCTCCACCCCGCATTGTTTAAAACATGAGCAATGTAGACTTGCCTCCCGAGTGTTCCACAGAGAAATAAGAATTCTGGCAGCTCAGCCCTGAGCTCACACTGCTTGAGAGATGCCAGCAGAGAGGGCATAATGATAAAGAGATCGGTCCCCAGAGAGGCATCCTTTTCCCCCTTCCTAATCAGGCAGACAGCCTCATGGGAAGCAAGACCTGGTTACTAAAATCCCAAACTTCCTTATAGGTAACGTAACTTCAGAAATCAATAAGAAATGTGAGACAATTAAATTCACCCAATGGTTACAGGGCACTTTCCCTGGATGGGGCTCGACGCTGTTTGGAGAGCAATTCAGTGTATCTCCTGCTTATCATAAACTCGGTCATGGGGCTCATCATGAAATGACACCATTCAAAGGATGGGTCCAAGGAAGATGGGCCACAGGTGTCAGAGAACTGATAGCGCCTCCCTGGCCTTTGGGGATAGATGAGTGGTTCTGAACAGAGAATAATTTTGTCTCCTAGAAGACATTTGGCAATATCTGGAACCATTTTTCATTGTCACAACCTGGGTGGGGCAGGGGTGCTACTGATATTTAGTGGGTAGAAGACGGGGAAGGTATGAACATGCTACAATGCACAGGACACACATCACAGCAAAGATGATCTGGTCCAAATCCTGGTACTACTGCTGTTGAAGTACCCTGCTGTAGATGAAAGGGCTTCTATCCTGAACTGATCATTCTCGAAACTGGGTGTGGGTTACATGTGATTTCATTACCATGCTTTGACCACAACTGTAGATGTATTAAAAATGTTGTGTTTTTAACTTAAAGAATTAGAAAGCAAACAAAAAGAAAACCCCAGAGCAAGTAGAAGGAAGGAAATAGTAAAGATCAGAGCAGAAATAAATGACATAGAGACCAAAAAACCAATTCAAAGGATCAATGAAACAAAGAGCTGGCTTTTCGAAAAGATAAACAAGATTGATGGACCCTTAGATAGACTCACCAAGAAAGAAAGAGAGAGAACCCAAATACACAAAATAAGAAATGAAAGAGGAGAAGTAACAACCAACACCACGGAAATACGAAAGATCATTAACAACTACTATGAACAACTATATGGCAACAAATTCGACAATCTAAGCAAAATGAACAAATTTCTAGAAACACACAGTCTCCCAAAACTATTCCCAGAAGAGATAGAAAACTTGAACAGACCAATAACAACAGAAGAAATTGAAGAGGTAATCAAGACTCTCCCAGCAAACAAAAGCCAGGCCCAGATGGCTTCATGGGGGAGTTTTACCGAACATTCAAAAAAGAACTAACACCCATTCTCCTCAAACTATTTCAAAAAATTCAAGAAGAAGGAAGACTTCCAAACACGTTCTATGAGACCAGCATAATTCTAATTCCAAAACCAGAAAAAGACACTACGAAGAAAGAAAACTACAGGCCAATATCCCTGATGAACATAGACGCCAAAATCCTGAACAAAATATTAGCAAATCGGATCCAGAAATACATCAAAAAAATTATTCACCATGACCAAGTGGGATTCATTCCAAGGATGCAAGGCTGGTACAATATTCGCAAATCAATAAACATGATACACCACATAAACAAAATGAAGAATAAAAACCACATGATCATATCAATAGATGCTGAAAAAGCATTCGACAAAATCCAGCATCCATTTCTGATTAAAAAGGCTCAGCAATGTAGGAATAGAGGGATCATATATCGACATAATAAAGGCCATATATGAAAGACCTACAGCCAACATCATACTCAATGGACAGAAACTAAAAACATTTCCATTAAGAACAGGAACAAGACAGAGATGTCCACTTTCACCACTCTTATTTAACATTGTACTGGAAGTCTTAGCCACAGCAATCAGACATGAAGAAAAAATAAAAGGGATCCAAATTGGAAAGGAGGAAGTGAAACTGTCATTACTTGCAGATGTCATGATATTATACATAGAAAACCCTAAAGACTCCATCAAAAATCTACTAGACTTAATGAATGAATTTGGCAAAGTAGCAGGATACAAAATTAATGTCAAGAAATCGACGGCATTCTTGTACACCAATGATGAACTCACAGAAAGAGAAACTGAATAAACAATCCCATTTACCATTGCGCCAAAAAAATTACGATACCTAGGAATAAACTTAACCAAAGAAGTAAAGGACCTATTTGCAGAAAACTACGGGTCATTGAAAAAAGAAATAGAGGAAGATATAAAAAAGTGGAAGCACATACCCTGTTCATGGATTGGAAGAATTAACATCATTAAAATGTCCATACTACCCAAAGCAATCTATAGATTCAATGCAATCCCCATCAAAATACCAACGACATATTTCATAGAACTAGAACAAATACTTCAAAAGTTCATATGGAATCAAAAAAGACCCCGAATAGCCACAGCAATCTTGAAAAAAAAGAACAAAGTAGGTGGGATCACAATACCAGATATCAGGTTATACTACAAAGCGACTGTAACCAAAACAGCCTGGTACTGGCACAAGAACAGGCATATAGACCAGTGGAACAGAACTGAAAACCCAGAAATGGACCCAAGGCAATACGCTCAATTAATATTTGACAAAGGTGGCAAGAGCATACAGTGGAGTAAAGACAGCCTCTTTAATAAATGGTGTTGGGAAAATTGGACAGCTACATGCAAAAAAATGAAACTAGACCATCAACTTACACCATACACAAAAATAAACTCAAAATGGATAAAAAACTTAAATGTGACCGTGAATCCATAAAAATTCTAGAAGAAAATGTAGGCAACAAAATTTCAGACATCATACGGAGCAGAATTTTCACTGATACATCACCTAAGGCAACAGAAATAAAGGAGAAAATGAACACATGGGACTACATCAAACTCAAAAGCTTCTGCACAGCCAAAGAAACAATCATCAAAATGGAAAGGCAACCCACTGTATGGGAGAACATCATTGCCAATGATGTATCAGATAAGGGGTTAATTTCCAATATATAGAGAGTGCTCATACAACTCAACAAAAGGAAGACAAAGA